TGAACTTTAACTTTCCTATGCTATGCAGAGAATTCCAACTAAGACCTTTTCACCTTAAAACCTATGACCTTGAAGAGACTGTGTTTTAAAGAGATTTACTTTCTATGCTTGTTGAATTGTGAGTTCTGAACAAAAAAGGGCACTGGGGCTTATTAAAAAAGTTGCTCAAAAGAATCTTCATTGCATTTCACCTGTTCCCAATACGAGAGACAAAGGCTACCCATTGTACTGGGACTAGACAGTCAGCAATGATGCAGAACTCTGTGCTAAGGGGAGAGTCCCTAAAAAACAGACTGTCTTTTTAATGTGTTTTAGTTTTCCAGTCTATTTTATGAGACCCAAGTTACGGTTACTCTGAATAATATCCTTCTGCATGAAATACCCATTTAAAACAAAGTTAAATCATGTGGAAAGCAGATAAATAAATATAAGTAAAATGGAAGTAGAATGGAAGAATGAAACTTCTTGAGAGTAGCTATGTATTAGTTGTGTCACATTATAAGCACTTACAGCTGGCTATATGGGAGAGGTAAACTGTAAGGACCTCTACCAAGATGTGTGTGTTTGAAACAAAAAGCAAAGAGGAGATTTAAATCCAATCTTTTCCTGCTGTGACAGACTGAATACCTCCAATGCAGATTCCTTTTGGTGAAGGGTAGCGATAAAATTTTTCCAATCTTCTTTAGCAGTAGTAGCTTTCTCCCGGATAACTTGAGCCTTTTCTTTTGGTAACATAGAGCACAGCAGTTCTCCTTTGGATGCTACCAAGTTTAGTTTATGTTGCCCATTCTCACTTTCTGATAAGAATTCCTGAAAATAATAATGAAATGATTGGCTGTATTCAGGAAAAGCTTTTTTTATGAACTCCAGGTCCCAGGAAAGCTCAATGGCAAAGCTCCCAGAAAATTCAACAGACATAGAAGTTTATTGTTTCTGCACATTAACATATTAATTCATATTTGGGTGCGTTCCATTTTAAAAGATTCAGGGACAACAGCTACCTAGACCAGAAGCGTCATGTATCTAAACAATGCATATACTAAAATTCTAGGATTATCTGAGAATATGTTCTGCACTTCATGAGACAATGACCTGTCCTTTAGTTGGGCATTATACTTTAAATCTTCATGGTACAGTAAGTGATAACACTTTTGTTTCGGGGAATCAATACCCTGGCACAGCATGGTTGGTAGCTGCTAGGGCAATGGCTAATTTTAAGGTAACATACAAAACGAACGCCACTTGAGATGACCACACTGTCCTTTCAATGAGTGTGCAGGGGCGTGGACCAATATATGGATCCTGAGCTATGTCTAACCTGTGTGATTTATCCTCTGCATCCTTAGCTTGCCTACTTAGTTCAAAGTATTTGTCTTTACAGAATACTTGCACAATGCTGCTGTGCAAGAAGTATACGGAAATATTTCTGTGCAAGAATTATGAGAACATATATGGAAATGAGCAGATTTTTAAATTTCATTGTATTAGTGCAATATTTTTATAACTTGTAATATTGAGGAGTCAAATTAATTTAGCAGCACTAAATATCAATGAAGTTATTTGGAAGTTATTTGAAAACTTTATTACCATACACAAATAGTTTAATATTCATAATCATCAAGTTACCTCCAAATTCAATCGGAGATTTATAGTAAGTCGATTGAGTCTCCCTCAGACTAATATCTTGTTGCTTTAGAGTTACCTGTATTTTCTGCAGACTTGCTGAAGCTTCACTGATACTCTGAGGCACATCAAAGCATTTGGCTGTGGTGATTCTTGCATTGACTAGCCACTGCTGGAAGTCCCTGAAAGCTGTTCGAAATCTTTGCTGCAAGATCTGCTCTTTACTCTGACATCCTTTTGAAGCTTGCAGGCAGAGGCTGGGTATGCCACATCAGGGAAGCAGCAGAGAGTGGAGGGAGAGGGGGAGGAAAGGTAAGATTCTGTAAGGTGACAACGCAATTACTTAGTTCTCTGAGAAAAAATGGTTAGGTTCGGTAAGGTTAACCTGGAGTCCTTCTACCAGCTTTAGGTAGCTGAGGCACCAGAAAATCCATTAGAAGTCTTCAGCTCCTTAAAAGTGAAACATGTAAATTGGGACATAGCTGTCATAGATGTGACAGACACAGATGTTTCCAAAGAGTGATTCAGCTCACCTCAGTGTGATGTTTCCTCAAGCCCCTTTCTCTCTTTAGGGACCGGACACGCAACCTACAGCAACTGCATTTCTAACTTGTGTGGTTCAGTTATGCTCATAATGTTAGAAGGGATCAGTCTAGGTCATTATGCCCTTCTTATGCAGCCACAGAAGCCAAAAGCTACAACCCCCTACAAGAGATAACAGAATCTTGTGTCTGAAAGGCAGGCTTCACACTCCAAACTAAATCAGCTGGAGGGACCTGAGAAAGCAAGAGAGTAAGTAAACACTGTCTCCACTGTTTCAATGTACCAGCTAGTAGAACAAGAGTGAAATGAAGCACAGAATTAAGGAAAATAACTTAAATAGCTGTTACAGCTTGTTCCTCCTTCACGCACATGAGATGTGGGTCTAATTCAGTTTCTTGGACAGATTTCTCCTGTAATAGATCAGGTGTGGACATATACTAGTTTCAGCTGAGTCTGGTCATACAGCCTAAAATCAACACAATGATTCTAATCATAGTCTACTTCTAAGATTTTGATTAATGATTCCTTAAAACAAAGTTCATGCACTCCTGAGACTGATTAGCTATAAAAAAGATGAAAGTGTACCTGTTATACTCCTTAATCAACCCTGAAACTTTTGAAGAATGATCACTCAAATCTCTGGAAAATCTACAGAGGTCATTTAATTGAGTCTTGATCTCATCCGACATATGCTCAGACTTTGCTAGAGCATCCAATGTTTCCTGTTAAAACAAAAACAAACATTAAAACAAAAATAGCAGTATAAAAAGATACTTGTCTGCTAAATGTTGTTATCATTTAAACCAAATACATCTTAAATTCTTTGTACTATGTTGAAACATTACTCCTAAAACCCACATCTGTGTAGAATCCAAGTGCCAAAAACTTTAAAACGCATAACGTTAAAAAATTCTGTTAACGCCTTACACTATCTGGCATTTTTTCAAGTAAACGATGTTCTGTGCCACTTACTTTGACACAGATAATGCTGATGCTCTTTTCATACCAGCATAAGGCACCAAAATAAACGTGACTTGATTTATAAAGGTGTTTAGGCACTTTTTGCTCTGGTAGCTTTCTAGACTCAACCCACTTGTACTTACCTGGAAAAACATACATCTAGGAAGGGGATTCACACTGGCTGTGTTAGGAGTTTAATTAAGGTTTGATTCAAGTGATCGGAACTAGGAAGCTAAATTACTTGCACAGTCAATTAAAAAGGACAGACCCCTTCCAGGTAATTCTAAATACTTAAAACAACCTAGAATATGAATACAGTGATTAAGAACAAAATATATGGAGTATTTTAAGTAAAGCAATTTAGAAGCCCAAATCCGACTTTCAAAAATGGTTAAAAGTTACTGTTGAATGTGGCATCACTGCTCATAAAACATTTGGACATTTTTTGAATGCTTCACCCTTTTTTCATAATGAACAGGACTAAGAAATAATCGTCAAGAAATCTAAAAAAATCATTTAAAAGTGCCTATGGAACTTAAAGTCAACTTAATTTGCGATCTGTGTGTCTTAATTTTTGAGATTATTTTAACAATCAAACCTACAGAAGCACAGAGGCTTATGTGAAACTGTGAGTTTCTGGAGACCAAATTTCTGGAAGCCTCACATTTTTTAGCTCAAAACGTTTACAAAAAAAAGCTTAAGGTATACATTTGATTTTGATAAATGGGATATGATATTGTCTGTTAGCTGTGTACATATGAAAATACATACAATTAGGGTATAGCAAATATCATACAGTTTATGTAAGTATAATTAGCCTACTTGCCTGAGTTTAACATACTCAGTAAAAACTATTTTGAACTGTATCCAAAAAAGGGAATTTATGCACAAAGCTTCTAACTGCTTCAACATTTTCAAAGAGGGCTTCAAAATCTAAAAAGGACAGCTGCTTACAATCCAGTGAGAGTGAATGGGTTGCTAGCTGTCACTGCTGCGCTGGCAAGACTCTTGATTGGGAGACAGCTAAGCCTACAGGAAAGTGCCATCGTTGGCTTAGGCCATGTGTCACTAGGAGGGGTCGAATAACCACTGCAACAAAAGCAGCCCTCACGCTGGTGTCCACAAGCGCCTTCACTACAATATCCTGCCAGGTACTCCAGCATAATTCGCAGGGCAGACTTTGCCCTTCATCTCACTACAAGTTAAATTCTCCAGCCGTTCCTCTTGGATTACTGGGGAGAAAAGACAACCTTCTAGCTAGTTACATTCATCACAACAGGTGTTGGGCAGCACACGCAAGTCAGAGTGTTTGGCCTACATACATTAATGTGGCTAAATCTAAGTGTCAAAACAGAAGTGTACTTATAAATGTAAAAAACTTATCATGTGAAAGCGAAGACAGATTAGAAAGGGGACAGGGGAAGTGGGACAAGGAAGTCCCCAACCATGCTTCTGAACATATACAAAAGGATGATGGAGTACATACATAGTAAACAGTTTGTAATTATCTATAAGCACAAAATTATATGTTCAGGAAATGTAGACATTATTTACATGAAAATATACACAGAGGGTTTTGAAAATATCACAATCTGCATTACAAAGATAAAAACGCTCACTGTAGGTTCTTCACTGTGAAGTATTCACAAATACTTCACTTCACTGTGAAGTATTTACTAAAAGTAAAAACAAGCATCAGCAAGAGTCTAGTAAGCCAGTCAATGAGCTTAATAAGAACAGCAAATAGACAAAAGGCAAGCAATTCACCTAATGTGCCTACTACCCACAAGCAACTTTGTGCTCTTTTCAAATCCCTTTTCCTGAAAAGGTCTATTGGCAGAGTTGTGCAATTAATTTTTTTAAGATTATATCCTGTATTTCTGAGCAAGTAAAAAAAAAAAAAAAAGACGTGTATGTTGCCTCTTCATACAATCTGAACTGCCAGGAAAAAAGTCTGTTTTGAGAAAAAGAGAACTGTAACACATCTTGGATAGAAGTATCCGTGGTTAAGTCCATAATCAGGGTTTCACTGTATTAATGTTACTGAAATCTGTTCAGATTTATAGACTACAGGGAAGCCCTGTAAAATTAAGCGCAGAGACTTTTCAGATGGACTATGTGTACTAACTCTTCTGTGTTCTTATGGGTATGAAAAAATATTTTGCTTCAACAGACTTTCAGGACTCCTCAGACTTACATTATTCATGCTAACATTATTGACTTCATTTGCTGTGAGTCACTCACACTTTAGTGAATCCATTCAGCCATAATTAAAAGAAGTTTGAAACATTCGCACTGCCAGTTTGTTTCAATACCATATAAAATAGCATTTGAGTTAAGTAATTATGTAACAGTAGTGATGCTCAGAAATAAATGTAAACTCACTACTTTTTGTTTATCTTACTACGCTAAACTATACACAGGACTTTTTTTGAAAATATTAAGAACGACAACACAATGGCCACTACTTAAACACAGGATGTCATATATTCTTCATATTAACATCTGTTATAGATGCTAAGGATGTTCACAGTAATATCTTTTTTTTAAAGAAAACATCCTACAAGTATCACCGAGGTTAGAATTGCCTGTTTTCAATAATTAAACCTTTCAGTTTCAAATAACTTACCACAATAAATACTAAAAGATTATTTTGATGATATACCATTTTATGCATAACCTGTTCCTGAAAACAGGAGCATTTCCTTGAAAAGCAGGGTACATTTAACTGTGGCATATTTCCATACAGAAACACTGAGTCAGTGATAGCATTGGTGCAGCAAGTTGAATTTAATTTTGAATCTGACCATTATCAAAATAACGTACTGAATTCCAAAGGCAGGATCTGTTGCCGTTATGTTGCATAAACCTAAGGGAACAGAGGCTGAGTATGGGCCATCAGAATGAGCTTGCTAATTCTGAGAGTTAGGAAATACATTTTTAACTTGTGATCTTGGCTACCTTGACAATCGAATCACTGTGAGACACCAGTAATGGAACGCTGCAGTGCTATTTTACATTCACAATGGGACCTACCGCTGAAGTCCAGAAATGGAAGGATTACTATCACATTTCCTCTAACTATAAATAAAATCACATAGTAGGGCTGTGCATAGTAATTCTTGAGTTTCTTCTGCATTTAACTCACTACCTAAAGTTTGCATCTTTCTTTATAATCTAAATAAAGCATTGTTATACAGAGTTACAGCATATACACTGTACATATACTTCTAATAAAGCAATATCCTTAAGTCTCCTGGGAATTCCATGAATTTACAACTTCTCTGTTTTTTAAATGAAAGACTTCTGGTAACTGCTGCTGTGTGTTGATGATAATCCCAAATCTTCCTTTACTTTAAGAAAACATGTAACCACAGAAGAGTTTACATATTTGTACCATTATTTGCTGCAGTGTAATGCCAGCTTTTTTCACTCTTACAACTAGTTAGCTGCTGGCAAGCATGCAAGCTGGTTCTGTAAATCTGCGTCAGGGAATTCTGTGAAAGGGGAAGCCACAGAAATAACTTGGCACAAAAACTGAAGGAGGAGGAGGAGATTTATAATCTCCGTTTAAAGACAGGGTATCCTGGGGGTTTTATAATATTTCTTCAGTCAAGGAGTCAGAAAGCAGCAATCACACCCCTCTCTCTTTACTGAAACACCACCCTGGAAGGGAGATACTCTGTATCTTTTCTGGACAGCTGTGATTCACCACAAGGGAGATCTATATATACATATATATATAGTTGGTGTGCAAGTTATCTCGACTGCTGTGAATATATATTCATATACATAAATGTATGTGCATATATTTGTATGCATGTATGGGACACATGCACGTGGAAGTTTTGCTAGAAGACAGGAAAGGAGAACTACCTCTTGTTTCTCTAAATCCTACTGCATTCCTCAGCAAAGCAAAAGGAACACACGAGTACAGCAGCGTCTAGGATCACTTCTTTAAACACAGGACAAGATCTTAATGTGCATGATGTGAAGGGCTTTTCAAGAAGTGGGGAGAATAAGCTCAGTACATGCATGATGAACTACAGGAAAAGAAATGGCTCCAGCTGCTACTTAGCTTTTAGAAAAGCTCTGCATTTCCCTGATCAAGTACTACTCTGGCTTGAAACACTGAGCGAATTGGAAGAGAAGTTCAGAAATAGTATGTTAGTTCCTTCATTTCCTTAGAGACGAGCCCTGCTTTTAATGTCTATGGTTGGGGTAGCATTTGCTAAGCCTTGTGCAGTAGAGGCCAAGGAGAGAAGTGTCTTCTGTAAACACTGCTTGCTATGATTACAGTTACAAAAGAGTTTCTAAAATTGGAATTTCATAAACATATTTTTTGTAAGTACATCTGATTATCGTCTACTTCGCCCATCCCTTGATAGTCCCGCTTAGCAGAACTTTTCTGCCCACAGTAGCTGTACGTTTACAACCAGAAGATTGCTAGGAAAAGAGAGGGGGGCCTTACTTTTTCCCTCCGCCAGCACTCCACGAGCTCGGCGTCCGTGTGCTGGCCGTCCAGGGGGGCCAGGCGCTGCGACCAAGCGGCCAGCAGCGTGCCAAACTGCTCCACGGCCTTTTCCAGCTGAGCGACTTGGGCGGCGAACTCCTGCTCCGACAGGGCCATCTGGCTGAGCAGATCCTCCAGGTTGCTTTGGGTTTGGAAAGCGCTCTCTTCCCACTGCTTCCAGTCCGCCTGCAGGGCCTGCATCTCCGCAGCG